TGTAGCAGCTAGAGTAGCTTTTTCCAGAGGATCCTACCCGACTTCGGCCAGTTAGATTTGAAGGAACAGGAAGTCAGCGCCAGAATTGAAGGGGGGGTGACCTAAGATATTCCAAAAAGTTGGATAATTTTACTCCAAAATTGAAGGACAATCTGACAGTGAATGAACAAGTGGGGGTTTGTTTCTTCCTCGTCTACTAGGCACATGACGCACCTATTAGGAGTTTGGGCACCTCTTCTATGGAGTAAGTCTATCGTGAGTGCGCTTTCGGAACACGTAATCCAGTAGAAGGCTTGTACTTTTGGGGGGGCTATGGATGACCAAACGTTGGAGAGCATCGTGTTCAGGTTTAGGGGGAAAGAATGCTGCATGAGTTTCTTGTAGAAGGAGGCCACCGTGAATGAACCGGTGGGCGAGTGAGTCCAGACCAAGGTGTCTGACCCTGAGAGGGCGAGGAAGGTGGAGTTGAGAGAGTTCGAGAGGGACATAAACTCCAAGGTTTCTTCTTTTGTGAGAGGTTTCCTAAACTCTGTGATTGCCTGAAGGTACTATTTCCTCTGAGACCAGGGAGGGTTTGTTAATTGCCACAACGAATAGGGAGGGGAATCGTTCTCTTAGCGAGGTGTGGCCTAACCATAGGTCTGACCAAAATCGCACTCTATCCCCGGCTCTAGCATGGAACCTAATGAATTGTATAAACGGTTGAAGGGAGGAGAGTAACGATTTCCATACACCCGAGCCCCTTGTCGTTGGAAAACCCTCGGGCAGCCAAAGGTCTGGTGGGATACTATACTTGCTTTGTATGACCTGGGCCCACAACTGGCAGTTCTGAGTAGCTAGTCTCCACCACCATTTACCTAAGAGCGCTAGGTTGTGTCCTGAGAACTTTGATCCCTAGGCCGTCCTAATATTTCGAGAGATAGACTTTATCCCACGCATTCAGGTGGATCTTATTTGATGCCACTTCACTTGACCAGAAGAAGTTTCTTGTCAGTTGGTCTAGGCGTTTAGCAATCGAGGCTGGCATATGGAATAGCGACATGAGGTATATGGGGGAGTAGGCTAGGGTTGCTTTGATAAGCGTCGTTCTCCCTGTAAAGGATAGGTATCTGCCTTTCCATCTTGCAAATCTCCGGTTTACTCTGTCGATTACATGGGATCAGTGCGCTTTCTTTGGCTTCCCCAATCTACGATGTGGGCAGGTCCTCCACTGTACCTTCCCAAGAAGGAACGAGGTTTTTGGTTTGGTTGTTGGATAGGCCAACCCCTATCGTTTTGGATTTGGCCATGATAACTTTGAACCCAGTCGCATGCTCGAAACATATCAGAAACAGTCTGAGGTTTTCTATTTCCTCAGGGTTTGCATCTAGGAAGACTAATGTGTAGTTTGCATATAGCAGATGAGATACACTCGGGCCATTCCTACTGCTTTTGAAGCCAGAGAGGAATCCCTCTTGATACATGCGGGATATAGACTGGCTGAATACTTTCGCCGCCACGGTAAAGAGGAAGGGTGAGATAGGGTGGCCTTGGCAAAGGCCCCTAGAGGAGGGAAGTACCTTTTTGGTGTCCCATTGATGAGGATGGAAAGAAAGGATTGGAGTAGCATCCCCTCATCTAGTTCCTCCACTGCTCCTCGAAACCCATACTCGTTAAAGCTATGTCGAGGATGGGCCAGTCCACATGGTCGTAAGCCTTCTCCTAGTCTATCTTAAAAATTAAACCCGGTTTTTTCCAGCGGTGGCGAGAGTGTATGCATTTATGGGCCACCGGCACCCTGTCTAGTATCTACCAGTCCTTGATGAAGGCTGATTGGGATGGGGAGATGACAAGTGGGAAAACCTGTTTGAGCTTGGGGGCCAACAGTTTAAATAGGATTTTGTATGTGGAGTTAACCAGGCTGATAGGACGAATCCTCAGCCCCTTGTATCTTCAGAACTAGCACAATGAAGGTGGCATTGATGGCTTTGTGCAGATTTCCACGATGGAAGAATTCCTCGAAGAAAAGAAGGAAGTTGTTCCTAAAGGTACCCCAAAAAGTTTTAAAGGGGGCGAATGGGATTCCGTCCGGGCCAGGGACCTTGTCTTTACCTAGGTCCTCAATCGCTTTAAGGATTTCAGCCTGGGAGAAAGGGCGTTCCAACCAATCCACCCATTGAGATGGAAGAGATCGGAATGGGAGATTTCCCATTCTCAGTCTAGAATACGTCGTGGCCGGATAGAGACTCTTGAAATACTTGAGGATGGTAACTTCAATAGCTGGGGCAAAGTCCAAGATTAGGTTGCCATCCTTAATCGTGGAGATGGAGTTATCTCGTCTGTGACAGTTTGCTATCCTGTGAAACAAGCATGTATTCTGGTCTCTTGATTTGAGCCAAGTAATTCGGGATCTCTGGTACCAGTGCAACTCTTCTTTTTTGAGGGTAGCGAGATAGTCCAACTTCATGTTCGATCTAAAGCTAGCCTCAAAGAGGTCGATAGAGGGCTCGATTCCTCCATCACATCTAAGGTCTGAATGGCCTTCGACAGGGTATTCTTAGTCAGTGAGAAATCTCCTGGAAGGGAGGAACTGCAAGTTTTAAGGGAGGCTTTGAGAAGTTGGAGTTTTTTTTGCAGCCTGAAGCCTGCTCTGCTTGAGACTTGGGTCGAGAAAGAGTCCCACCATACCAGAATTAGTGAGGCGAGTGCTTCTTCTTACTTTCCTCAAGTTAAAACGGTCTCATTTTTATGGCCAATAAATATCCTCAATTATGTGACCTGATTTTCGTTTTTCCAGCAAGGCACACTAGTCCACCTAGACAGTTTCTTCGCTCTAGCGCCTAGCAGTCAATTATTTCTATCTTCCTTCCTCTAGGTCTTCCTCAACTGAACATTGATCTCCTTGTCAGCTTGTTGTTTGAAACCTTACTCTTTTTGAATTTGATTTTTTCTAAAAAAAATGTTAGCCAAAGTTTTTTAATAAGACAGAATTGTCTCATGTTTGAGGAACCTTTCGTCGATGTCAAGGAGTCACTATTCCAAAGATGACCTTACACGACCAAAAGAAAGAGCTCAATCTTTATTCAATTGGCCAAAGGCCTACATACGTATTTGTATTGAGTTCTGGCATATACTTGGACTCTCAAAAGCATAGAAAAAACTCCTAAAGAGTCTAGGAAACTACCTAACTCTAAGGTCTCTATTCCTACTAAGATTGGAACCTTACTTTGTAAATTCCTGTAACTTAAGGAAACTGACGTTGATACCCATTTAAAATAATTAATCAACAAGGAAAGGAAAGAAACCTAACTCACTTGAAAATAGGAACTGATCCAGCTGAAACTCAGGAAAGTTAAAATTCGGGCTATCCTCAGCACGGGTATCGGCGCTTTGGTATCTGTGACCTGCGGGTCTCTCTATAAGATTAGTCAGGATACTTTTATGTTTTAACCACAATATGCTGCTCAAAATGTCAAATTCTGAAAAACCCGTAGATATGGGTCATAGACCTCAAAGAGATCTTCAATTTAAGCTTTTGGATCACCTTGACTGGACATTTGTGTGAAAAGTCTTCTGGTGATGCCTTTTGCAATGCGATCTGCATCATTCTGCTTCCATTAAATTTGCTTTATTCCTCATATTTGTTCTATGGAACAGTGATCTCCACACTCTTATGCCCCCATTCAAACTAACATAATGGATAAGAAACTTCACCTAAACTGTGTTTGATGAAAGAAACAATTGTCTGCCTTATGAAATGATTGTGCACCATTCTCAAGTTAAAAAGGTCTCATACTCTATGGCCAATAAATATTCTCAGCCATGACATGATCCTGCCAAGGTACACTATTCAATCCTATCTCCGCTAGAGAGTTATGCTCAACCTCTAGATTTCTGAATTTGAACTTCCTAAAGAAATATTAATCCAAAAAAGAATGTACCAAAGACAGAGGATTGTCTAGAAATTTTATACCAATCCTAAGAAGAGGAGATACTTATTAGCACCACATGACTCTAAATAAATTTATGAAATCATCATGAGGCATTCGATTTGTGGATATTTCCACTATCTTTTGGGCCTGTTTTGATGGCGGTTAATTTTATCTGGAATAAATAGTTTATCTAAAATTAGTATACTCTGGTTAATACTATTTTGTTTGCTGTTTGGTATGTATCTTGTATTATGTATAATATTATTTAATTATTTAACTTTTTAAGTGATTTCCAACTATTTTTGGTTATTTATGGATAAAAACATGTGATTTTCAGCAAATTACTTTGAATAAAATAAAAACAGCTTTTAAAAAGGATAAACTTATATGTAAAACTACCTGTAGGTTTATCTCAGATAACTTTATGTTGGATACTGCAAAACAACAGATAGTTCAGTATCAGCATTAATTTTTTTGAAACCCATTATTCTTATTCAAACATTGAATTATTAGTAATAACCACAGCATTGAAACAGGTCCTTTGCATATCTCCCACGCATTTGTATTTTGTTATGAAGAAAGTGTTCCTCAAGAAGGACATTATCAACTGAATATTTTTATGTTGCTATTAGCACATGACATGAAGAAAATAAAAATCTCAGGACTCGAGATTAGTTTGTTTTCTAACAACAGAGAGGGTCTGCTGGGTCTACATAACACGCTGGCATTCTTGTAGAAGTGCACAATTGATGATCCCACAGCCTTCCCGCTCTAAGATTAAGCTTAGGGTTCTGGGCTTTGTGAAACATATAAAACCCCTTTATGTATGTCTGTCTGCATGTGCATGGCTGTATGTTGATGTTTGTATGACTAGAAATCCTGTTGGACACAAACACTGATACTATTTGATTCTAATCCTGGTTTAGGACAATTGTTCTATAGATGCCCATAGATATGTGATTGTTCTTCATTTAGGAAGTTCTTATTTCTATCGAGTCTTGCAATTTTATGTTCTATATATGAACATGATTCCTTCTGAAGTCTGTTAGAATTGCTGTCTTATGTAACTTCTGTTTCTTCGTCATCCAGTTTACGATGGATTTAGCTGCAACAGATTCTACAAATATACCAAAGAGTTACTCTTTGAATATGTTTAAGGACTTTGTTCCTATGTGTGTTTTTTCTGAGACGAATCAAGGTGAGTGTCTAAATGCGATTATCCATGTATCTTTTCTGGAATTTCGGTCATGTATCATTCTTTTCTTATATTTCTTTGATAGGATTATCTGGATGTTTTGCAAATTGCCATACCTCTGATAGTACTAATTGTTGTTGTGTTAACTTCTTGGGTGAGGAGGTCTGTTTCCTATATGCCTCACTTAATGCAAATTTCTCATGTTTAATGAGAGTAACCATTTTCTATTTATTAATACGAAAAAACAGTTTTACTTTGTTCAAGATTCATTAAGCCAATAACTTAGAAGCTTCTTGGTACTCCCAATTGTGTTGTCATTTTAAGTACTATTTAGGCCCATTTTTTTATGGAGAAGTTAATACCCTTTCTTGGGTTTTACCATGGTTTAAACACTTGTGAAAGAGATTTAGGACTTGTGTGAGCTCGATGAGCTACCTGTTGAGTTTTGAGAAAAAAAAGAAGTCTTAAGTCAGGTATCAAGTTAGTTATGATATTTTTTGAAGTTCTGTTTGTTTGTGCAAATACTTGCCTAGGTTTGGAATTCAGCTAGAAGGCTTCGTACCAAGTGGACTGCGAATTTGAACTTCGGGTTTTCCCCTATAGGGCTTTGCCTTATGTGGACATATGTATGTAATATGGTGGATCGTAAAGACCCAGTTTGGATGAATATCGTATCATGAGTAAAAGTATCTTTCTAGTAAAACTGCATTTGAACGCTTAGTGGGACGTTTGGTCTGCTTCAGCCTCCTCATGAGTGAGCCCCATTTCTTTATCATTGTCCTTTCTTTCTTTCTTTCTTTTTTTTGGAGGTATTGACTGTCTTGTTCTCTGTGTAAACATATATCATACAAAAATAGAAAATGGTGGCGCTGCACCAAGGTAGTTAAAAAGATAGACTTTTCAAAACTTAGTCGTATGTGGCTGGGTGTGTAAGCGAGCCCTATTTCTGAGCCCCTTTTATTAGAAAAATGTCACAATTCACCTCCAAACTTGCTAAAAGGAAGAACTGTTTTTCTTAGATCTTGATTAAATTTAACTCAGGAATACTGCTTACTCAAGAGTGGTTGGTCTGTCCAAAATCTCCGAAAGTTTTTTTGTGCTTATACATGCTACAAACTGTTTCTTTGAGTTTTTTTGTTGATGTATTTATCGGTGCTTGTTACTTTCGGTTTTCATTGCTATTGGAAGCTTTCAATTGTTTTTTTGTTCTAACTTCCAACCAATGCTTTTGGGTTCTTGTTTTGCTCTGGCTTGCTACTGGAAACTATTAGTAGAGTGTACCTTTTTTGCTCATAGGCTTCTCTTAGCTTTCTTAGATTATTATGTGAATTAAAATGACATGCCTATGAATACATGTGCAGCAATTGTTTAAAATGGTCTAATGGACAAAATACATGTTAATAAAAGCTATGTAACATGCATGTCTATTGTTCTTGGCATGTGTAACATGCCAATGACTGCTACTTAACCTATTTTATATAAATGTCACTTTGAAAGTATTGGATATCACTCAAAATTCTGATTCAGGGAAGAAAGAGAAAGAAAGGTAAAAACCAGAGAGTAGAAAATAAAAGGATCGAGAGCTTGTGCTCTCTCTCAAAGCCTGCAAAGGAAAACCATTCACTAGCCTCATAAAAACCAATCCTTATCTGTCCTTTGCGTATATACATTAAAAAACTAGAACCCAACCCAAGCCTTTTTGGACTTTGTGTGAAACCCAATAGCCAAAAAAAAGGAATCCTAATATTTTTACCTATCAAAATTTAAACCTATCCAATCTTTGCAACCATAGTTTGACAAGGAGAACACATGGTATGCAGTATGAGAAAAATCTGTGAAGGATACAGTCAAGGTTATGCACTCTACAGCATTTGGTGTTTCTGAAAAATTGGCTTTTAGATATTCAACAGCCTCTACTTTAGTTTTAAATTATAAACTGATTGTGTGCCATCAATTAAGACCAAAAAAAAAAAACAACAAAAAAATGTGCATGCACGGCATTGAATTTCTTGATAATGCCTTATTGTAAATTAAGCAGTGGGAGGTTGAGAGAGCTTATTTTTGTATCTCTTCTTTGTAAATTTGGATTGAATATTGTTGACATCTATAATAGCAGATATATATGTATTATAGGAAGGGTGTCAGTGGAAGGGAAGGTAGAACATAAATTTGACATGAAGCCCAACAGTGAAAACATGGAGCAGTATGGCAAACTATGCCGTGAGAGGACAAACAAATCTATGATAAAAGTTAGACAAATGCAGGTGAGAGTCCCATTTTTTATTTATTATAATTGCTTGTGTTGCAGGTGAGGGTTGTATTATGTTTTAATCAACTCTGTTCTTTCCTCAGATGATTGATGATGATCGGGGGGGCTTAATGAGGCCTATGCATGGGATGCTCGGTTTTGGATCAAATTCCAAGGTACTCCTTTTCTGATCTGTTGTCTCATTCATCAACTGTTTCCTATATATATATATATATATATATATATATATATATATAT